TTTTACTATATATCATATTTAGAAGGTCAATGAGTACAAGCGAACATTCACGCCGTAAAAACGTGCGGCGGTTTTCTTTAATTCGTTTTTTTAAAGAAATCTCATGAATTAATTAAAATCGAGCAAGAAATGTATTTATCTGCCGACCATCAATGGAAAAATGTGTCATGAAGTCAGTGATTAGTTGAGAAAATTCGTACACGTACACTATACAGATTGCATTTTGAAGGTCATAATTATGTCATGAATTTTTGCAGCAGACATCAGGATATAATCTTGATCTAATTCCCATCTTTAAAAAATAGAAGAAGCTCTCAGGAGCATGACCGAAAGCTAGAGATAAAACTGAAAAAGAAAGAAAGAAAGAAAGAAAGAAAGAAAGAAAGAAAGAAAGAAAGAAAGAAAAGGGAAATAAAAGTAAGAAAACAAATAAAGAGACGAGGAAGGGAAATAAAAGAAAGAAAGAAAGAAAGAAAGAAAGAAAGAAAGAAAGAAAGAAAGAAAGAAAAGAAAAAAAAAAAAAAAAGAAAGAAAAATAAAGGAAAGAAAGTGATATAAAATAAAAAAAAAATAATGAAAGGGAAATAAAAGGAAAACAAAATGAAAGAAAGAAAGAAAGAAAGAAAGAAAGAAAAAAGAAAGAAAGAGAAATAAAAAGCATAGAAAGAAAGAAAGAAAGAAAGAAAGAAAGAAAGAAAGAAAGAAAGTGAAATAAAGGAAAGAAAGTGATATAAAATAAAAAAAATAATGAAAGGGAAATAAAAGGAAAACAAAATCAAAGAAAGAAAGAAAGAAAGAAAGACTGAAAGAAAGAAAGAAAAAAGAAAGAAAGAGAAATAAAAAGCATAGAAAGAAAGAAAGAAAGAAAGAAAGAATATAGTGGTATAAAATAAAGAAAGAAAAAGAATGAAAGGGAAATAAAAGTAAAAGAAAAACAAAAAAGAAAATGAAAGAAAGAAAGAATGGAAGGGGTATAAAAAAACAACGAAAATAAAAGAAAGGAAGAAAGACAGAAAGAAAGAAAGGAAATAAAGAAATAAAGTGATATAAAATAAATAAAGAAACAGAATGAAAGGGAAATAAAAGTAAAACAAAAACAAAGAAAGGGAAAGAAAGAAAGAAAGACTGGGCAATAAATAAAGAAACAGGGACATAGAAATGGAAATAAAAGAAAAAAGAAAGAGTGAAAGATCTAACCTTTTATCGTTCGACACAAAGAAGAATGTTGAACTGCTATATAATAAATGTCCCCCAATATGTCAGTGAACATCAGACAATTTTCTCGCAGATGAAGATGACACTTGACACAACGAAGATGTAGTTGTACAGACGGATGCTAAGAATACCATAGACCGAACATATGAGCAATGATGAAGTTTCAAAGAAAATAAAAACAATAATAACACTTATATTTAGAATCAGAAAGAGCTGAAATGTCTGTGACACATAATGAGTAAAGTGGGTAGGAGAAATTGGCCTTCACTAGCAGAAGGCATAAGCCAGTCACCTACGTAATGAGCTTGTGTAAATAGATTACAGGAGCTGGAAAAGGTAGTAAGTGGCTAAACACTGCTTAGACCTGCTAAAGGTAGGAACTTGTGGAGAGGCATGATCACCTATGTACAGAAGTGAAACGGTGCATAAAAAAAAAGAACAGCTGATTATGAGAGAAAAATAAAAACAGGGAAGTTGAGAGACAAAGGAAAAATCAATGGACATTGTTGATGGCAGACAGGGAAAGGAAACTATACACCCTCTCCCAAAAGGCAGTAAATGAAAGCGAGAAGAAAGGACTAAGCTAGAAGATAAAAAGCATGTTTGCCAGCAAAATTGATTGAATCGTTTTCTACGGTTTATCAACCATTTGCTGGTTATTTAAAGCCAGATATTTTTTCTTTAGATTGTTAGAATCTTTTTTTTAGATAATAATGGTTTAGTGACACAAGTCTTATTAACCCATAGCTAGAAGGGAGAAGTGCTGGATTCATACCTTTCTGTTGTAACCAAGTAAATGGTTAAAGAAATAACAAAACAAGTGTTGCAGATATATCATATATTAAACAGTAAGTACAACAGAAGAGTATTACACGACTAGTGAGAGTGTGTCGGTTGACTCTGTGTTCAATCTATTCGACTGTTATATTTACCAGCCACCCCACGAGATAGGATGTGGTACAAGGCCAAGTTTAATGTAGGCTCGACCAATAATTCCCCTATAGAACCCGTATAAAACGAGGCCGAGTAGCTGTTTTCCAAGACGAGACTCCGCCCTTCGACATAGCCTCGTCTGGGGATCCGCCGTGCCTGGAGGCAGAGAGTTTTACCAGCACAGCTGGAACACATCTATTCGACTGTTAATATTTAACAGCCCCCCTCACGAGGGATGTATGTGGCACAAGGCCGAGTTTAGCGTAGGTTCTCCGAGCCCGTAGCCTTGGCCAAAAATATTCCCTTAGGACCCGCATAAGCAGGTTCAGGGCCTGTCTACCTCCCCGGACGAAACTTTACCCTTCGTCAAAGCCTCGTCCGGATTACTCTCTGCTCGAGGCAGAGAGTTCGACAAATGAACAATCTGGTCGACTGTTAATATTTAACAGCACCCCCACAAGGGATGTATGTGGAACACGGCCGAGTTTATTGTGGGTCCTCCGGGCCCGAAGGCTCGGCAAAAAATATTCCCTTATAACCCGTATAACCTGTATAAACGGGTTCAGGGTCTTTCTACCACCCCGGACGAAACTTTGACCTGCGGCAAAACCTCGTCTGGGTTCCTCTCTGCTCGTGGCAGAGAGTTCGGCAGATGAACCATCTATTCGACTGTTAATATTTAACAGCCCCGCCACGAGGGTGTATGTGGCACAAGGCCGGTTTATTTTGGGTACTCCGAACCTGTAGGCACAGCCCAAAATATTCCCTTTGAACTCGCCTAAACGGGTGCAGGACCTGTCTACCTCCCCGGACGAAACTTTGCCCTGCGGAAAAGCGTCGTCCGGGTTCGTCTCTGCTCGAAGCAGAGAGTTTGACAGATGAACAATCTATGCGACTGTTCCCCCAAGGCTTTCTCTCCTACTAATCTTATAGTAGGCGGAAGAGAAGAATATAGACTCTTTAGAGGCAGGACACCACAACACTTTCCCAAGAATATTTGCGCGCATTTGAATATAACGAAACCACCGTAATTGGAACTTGGCTTTCCGATTAACAATTCCGAGCCGTTATCCATTACACCAGCCACATATCCATAGCATACAGCAACTGGTATTCGCAAAATGTCGGCAAAAGGAACAACTACATGTGTGAGCTACGAATTCGTGACATCACAATCCATCAAGTACACAAATTTAAATATCTGGGAAATGTTTTAGCGGAAAATGAGATACAAAAACCGAAAATGCATTGGAATAGCAAAAAAATGCCTTCCAAAAGTTAAGCATAGTATTAAGAAACAGGAAAATTTCGATACAAAAAAAAGAAATAGTACTTAACTTAATAGTAATATCGGTCCTCCTGTGTAGTAGCGAATGATGTACAGCGTCTTTACAGATGAAGAAGAGATTTAAAGCATGAGAAACATGCTGAGAATACCATAGTCCAGTGGTTCTCGAACGGGGCATCGCACCTCAGTATAAATTGTTATAAATAATTATTGGCCGATTTTATCATTATGATATATTTGTATTATATGAAGTATTAAGAATTTAGTAGCTATGGTCCTCAAATTGGAGGAGAGAGTTATCAATGATAATTTTCTGACTCTGAATCCGCGTTTATGTCCCCTTAACCTTCTCTCTGGACCTTTGTTTGCTGTAAGGCTGCTTGCGTCTTCCTTTGGTGAGGTGCGAGCAAATTTTAATTCCAAAAAAGTGACCCAGAAAAAAAAAAAATTGGGAAACACTGCCATTGACTAAACATGTGAGAAACGGCGAAGTCTTCGAGAAAATGGAAACAAAAACGACACATATTTTACAATCGGAAAGGGACAATCGAAACATCTCGGAAACATAATGTGGAAAATGGGCTTGGAAATTTTAACACTCACGGGACATATCAAAAGGAAATTCCGGCAGTGGAAAACAAAATAACCTACTTGACGAGTCTGTGTAAAGGATTGGCAGAACAGTGTTTAGGAGAGATAGCAAAAAGAAAAGACTGCTAAAAGATACTAAGGACAGGAAACTGTGGAAAGCCACGATCGACAACGTTCTGAAGATCTGTAATAATTTATAAAAAAATAAACAAATGAAAAACTATAAACAGCGTTTTCAAAGAGCTAAATTTCTAACAATGATATTATCTTCTACTTAAAAAAAAAATAGTACGCCGCTTGCGTCTTGATTTTTATGTTAAACAAACCGTCAAAACAAATTACTCTAACAGCCATTATTAATCTTTTCAAATAAAGAGGAATAGGTTAATAATGTATAGGATGAAGAAACGTGGGACTTTAATGGATGGGAAATGACTGCATATTGGATTCCTTGTGCAGAAAACATTCATCTAGTGTTCCCAAAAGTAGTGAATAGATAACAGAGCCGGTGTAAGGGGGGTGCATTAAATTTAGAGAGGGACAAATGTGTGAGCAGGGCTTCAGTTCGCATATCTTTCAGATACATGACTTTTGCAGTGTTGTAATTCAAGGTCAGAACTTCATGCACTTGCGCAGAGAGCAGAAATTCTTTAGTGAATGCGGCCATTATTTCTCAGCTGACCGAAACTGTGAGTTCCATTTTCAATGTACTCTTTCTTTTTTCTTTTTTTTTTTCTCTCTCATTTTTCTTCTTTTTAACAGAAAAAAAAGAAAAAGGAGTAAAAAAAAAAAAAAAAAACACCCCCGAATAGTACGTCAGCAATTTAGCAAGATGAAACCAAAGTATCCTATTCTAATTGAGCTTGTTCCCGCTTTCGTTACTCTGCACAACCGTTACGCCCTGCCGGCACATCATAAATAATGGACTATTCCGTTTTGATCGCGTGGAAAGAGAGAAAAAGACTATTTGATTTCAGTGAGAAAGAAAGAAAGAAAGAAAGAAAGAAAGAAAGAAAGAAAGAAAGAAGTGACCACATAGTACGCATGTTGAAAGAAAGAAAGAAAGAAAGAAAGAAAGAAAGAAAGAAAGAAAGGAAGAAAGAAAGAAAGAAAGAAAGAAAGAAAGAAGTGACCACATAGTACGCATGTTGAAAGAAAGAAAGAAAGAAAGAAAGAAAGAAAGAAAGAAAGAAAGAAAGAAAGTGGCTAGCGAATCAGATTATGCTGATAAGAACATATGCGGCACTTTGATCTTAGCCAAAAGGCCGAGAAGCGGGTATTTTTCAGTGCGCCTACGTCGCTACCTAATGTGACACAAGGTCAGTTTAAAGTGGGTTTAACAGCAATACCGTGAAAAGAATTACCCAATCCACCTCGACATTTCTACTTTTGGAAATGCCTCGGGCACCGGAGGAAAAATCCAGCTCCTTCTCGGAGAGATATTGCCTGGTGTTTGTGCTTAATATTATTTGAACCTCCCCGAGACAAATGGCCGAGAAGCGATGCCATTATCTTGCCGCTCTACGCTGTGATCATGTGACACAAGGTCAAAAGCGCGCGCACCCGGACCAAGTACCGCAATATACCAGCCATCGACCATTGGTCGCGCTGTCATCGGTATTACTACCGATCCCTCATCTTTAGTGCAATGAGGGAGATAACACCGGGTATTTGGCTAATATCAGTTACTACTAGATCTTATGTTATAGGCTGTATCCCGTCAGGGTATGGACGATCATGGCTCTCCACAACTTCATTTTTTAATTGCCCCATGCAAATTTTCCCTTTTACCATTCCTGTTTGTCCTTGTTCAGCCATCCATTCACACAGACTCAAATAGTTTATCCTTTCTTCTTTTCTTTTATAAAACATGTCCTCCTCTCAGGAAATGGATGATCATGGCTCTCCACAATTTCCTGTCTTTTGTTGTAAGTAACTTTTGGTCCATTAATACTCAAATTTTTCCTCGTACTACCATCCATTCATGCAAACTGAAGTAGTTTACCCTTGCTTTTCTTCATTTGTATGCCATGTACTTTCAGGAAGTGGGTGATCATGGTTCTCCACAACTTCTTGTCTTTTGCTGATCTAAGTAACTTTTGGCCCGTTAATACTCAACTTTTTACTGCAAACTTGTTTTCTAAATATTTTATATCTGATATATATATATATATATATATATATATATATATATATATGTTATGTTAATGTGATTATATTTGTGTACTTTAATATTGTATATAAAATCTCTTCATCTGTAACTCATTTTTGAAATTCATTTCTTTGTGTTATTCTGGTTCCTCCTTCCATCTTGTTAAAGTGTTAGTACATCGCAGATATCCTAATGTCTATAGTGGGCCTTGAAGAGTTGTGGAAACCGAAATATTTCATTAAATATAAATATAGATAAATACCAAATGTAAACTAGACGTGTGTTAAAGCAGAAAACCAAAGAAAAACTTATGTTTACTATTTAAATGATTATTCATCAATGATAGAAAAAACAAAGCAATTATTTAATACCAATTATTTAGTATCATTTATTTAATAACAAGCTCGAAAAATGCATTTTTGAAAAAGTAAGTTCAAGCGAAAATATCGTATTTTCTATTTCGAATTTTTTGTTCAAAGTTCTTCTGAATTAAAAATATTTATTAAGTTTAGCCTTGTAAAGTTTCAGACTTGTTACAAATACCGATTGAGTTTCCATAAATCATTCGTACAACATGTGGAAAATAATAATTGCCACGTGTGTTGCGCTTTCGTCTGACACATAACCAAATGAGAGAGAAATGAGAGCCTATTTTGGAGAGGGCTTGTATATCAGTATTCAAAATTTTAGTTTATATTTGGGCCCAGACATTGATAACTGGTCCCAATCATAAATATCAAGCAAGCCGATCTAGATTTGTAAATAAACACCAATCGATGCGTTTCAAGATAAAGAGATATTATGAAGAATCACGGTCAATTAGTTTGATAAATACGAAATTAATATCAAAAAATTATCTCAATTTTCTATTGCACCGATATTTTAGCGTTTTAAGTATCGAATTGAAATGCAAACTAAAATGATAATGATAACTAGTTCGATTTAGAACTTTCCGATACTCTTTTGATCAGTTTTTCAACTTCACTGCTATCAAATTTTAATAAGACCTTTTTACTGTACACTGACGTTTTACTATGAATGTCAGGCTTCCACGCCCAGTCCCATGGATAGAAGACAGGCGAACGCAAATTAGTACGGAGAATTTGCCCGTCTTGCATTTTTAAAGACGCTTCGAGTTCAGCCTCCTGCCTTGCTCCGACTTGCTGCTCTACACATGAAACTTGATGCCAGGCTTGATTCAGTTCCATCTGGGCCGAAACCTCCTCGTCGTAGTTATAATTCTTCCAGTATTCGAAAACACCTTTTTTGCTGCAGTCACCGACCAGCGGGAAATCTTCAGTCGAAAATACAGAGCAATATTGGTCTTCGTCCAATGTTAGCGTTTTCCGTCGTTCTGTTCCTGAATCCGTAACAGGGGATTTTCGTTCAGGAGGGGTGCTGATAAGCTTTGACTGTGTGGGGCGAGTGAGTTTCGTCCGGTCTTGCTTTTGAGAGACGGACTCGATATCAAACAAAACATCTTGAGCGACAGGAACTGGATGCGGAACAATGCCGTAAATGCATCGCCTCCTGCATTGGATGTACGGATGTATCCCGTCGATTCGAAGTGGCGGATGGCTTGCAAGGTACTTCCGAATCCCTGCATTATTAGCGATAACTGAAAAGTAAATAAAAATGTATGCCAACATTAGAGACGACCAAATATCTTTACTTCTCACAATCTCTCTCTCTCTCTCTATATATATATATATATATATACATATATATATATATATATATATATATATATATATATATATATATCCTCCCTGGAATTATCCATACGGATTACCAAACACATCTTTACCTATACATATATATATATATATATATATATATATATATATATATATATATATATATATATATCATGAATAAGAGAAAGAACAGATGGGAGAAGAATCCGCAGTTCTCAGCATGCACTTTTTAATATACATACATACATATATATATATATATCTATATATCTATATATATATATATATATATATATATATATATATATAGTGTTGCAGCAAAATCCGACACTTGGCAAAAAAAAAACGAAATAGGCTATAAAAACAAAAGTTGTATATGCAGAGAACCGACAGTTTATTTAAGAACAGTTAGAGTTACATACTACAGTGTAATCCGGATATAAGAGAGTTGTCGGGACCGGAAAAGAAGTCTCTTATATCCGGGTTTCTCTTATATCCGTGTTTGGTCTATTTTGTTTAGGTAAGTATGGCTCTAATTTGGGACCAGAGACAATCTCTCTTATATCCGGGTTTCTCTTATATCCGGGTTTGGTCTATTTTATATACATTAACACAGGCTCTAATTTGGGACCAGAGAAAATCTCTCTTATATCCGGGTTTCTCTTATATCCGGGTTACATTATTTTTCAATGTAACCGCCGCTGGCGACGACGACAATCAAGGCGGGCGCGAAATGAGTCATATATATATATATATATATATATATATATATATATATATATATATAATCCACTTGGATTATATACCAACGGATTTGTTGCCTTTTATTATATATATATATATATATATATATATATATATATATATATATAATGTTTGTGTGGGGGGATATTTAGGCAGCATATATTTTCATTCAAGCAAATTTCATTGAATAATATTGACATATTATGCCAATTTATTTTTATAATAATCCTTTCTAGTTCTCTAATTAGCTTCTTGATGTTAAATTGAAATTCGTCAAGTAAAGCTCCGTAGTTTTTGTTTGCTCAAGTACTTTCGATCTCCTCAGTTCAAAATGTTACTGAAAATTTTCATATTGAAAAAAACTATATTGAAAAAAAAACTATATTGAAAAAAAAACTATATTGAATTTTTATGTCAAAGGATACATCAATTATCGAGACGATAACTGATCATCCTCTGTGGGTGTATTGCGAAGACAAACTTTATGTAACTTTAATCGTTGTGATGGTGATTTTTGAAATTCCGCGCTTTGTCATAATTTTTTTTAAATTAACCGTTGTGGCTATGGTGTTTTTATTTTTTGTAAACAAGCGTCCACAATATAAGGGAGCTAACAAGAGATGGGAAAATGTGAATGGCATTAAATGTTGGACAAATACATTTTAAAACATTGCTATATTACTTATAATAAATTTTGTTCAGTGTTGGTTGATCACTTTTGATGTACAGGGCTTTGAGCATTTGAAGTTGTTAACAAAAACTACGGGGCCTTCCTTAATGAATTTCAACTTCATATATATATATATATATATATATATATATATATATATATATATATATATTACTTGTAGCGTTATCTTTTTTGTGGATACTCATATTTGAGTAAGCCCCACATCTATTTATTAAGCTATATATTTATCTTCGCCTACCAGCCTGAATATTCGTGAAATCTTATTAAAGAAAAAAAAATACGCTCACCGGCAAAATTCGAAAATGCGTAGAGGAAACTGCTGTTAGATCCGATGTGTCTCAACCGATTCGGCCACGAGGAAAATTTGCCGATCAAGCAAGGTCCTCGAAATTATCATATATGTTGTTTCGTGTCCAAACGTAATTTTCTAAAAATGTAATGGGTCTTTTATATTAATCCGACAGATTTTTGTCACATTAAACGTCATTTTTAGTCGATATTCATATTTGAGTGGACACTCCGTAGGTTAATAAAGTCGGTTAAGTCACGATGGATCTAACGAAGGTTTCCCTCTGCCGAGAGTGTCGCAGATTCGAATCCTTCCTGAACAATACATACATATATATATATATATATATATATATATATATATATATATATACTAGCAGCATGGCCCGGTGTTGCCCGTGCTTGATTCAAAAATCGTACAACTCATACAGCAATAGCTATCACTTGACTTAAAATATTTTGCCCTTCCTTGCCTTTAAAGGAGTGCCCTTTGCCGTGCTGATGTTGCTACATGCCTTACTTCTTGCCTATCTCACACTGCGAATTTTTTCGAAGCTCTATAGTATTCATTAAAACTATTACGAAAAAAGAACTAAACAAAATGAACACAAAACGATCAGCTTTAAAAAAGCACTCGTAACTGAAAAAAGCGAATGAAAAAAAATAAATACTTTTTCACACCCGACCCAATTCTGCGGAATCAGAATTAACGTTGAGTTTAAGCGAACGAATGAGTCAATTGGATTAAAGTGCCATGCAGATTTAAATTTTTCCCATTTGTGACGAATGCAGCTATCGATTTTTTTTGCAGTTAACATTCGTGTCAGTCAGCTGTTGGCTCACACGCTGGCCAATAGAATCTTCCTGCCTATTCGTGGCAGACAGCTATAGGCTATCACTCTGACCAGTAGAAAATGGCCGCAAACTACATGAAAACTGCCGTAGAAGCATGAAAAAATCGATTATTTCCACTATCGATGGGAGTTGGGAAATGCAAAGTCGGTCTTGGCCTTTTCACTAACTTGGAGCATGTGCATGTAAATTCTTGTGCAAATCCGTCGAAAATTGCGGCCGTGCATTTACACACACACACACACATCCTGCCTTATATATATATATATATATATATATATATATATATATATATATATATATAGCTAATATTAGTGGTAAATATACACATACATATGCAAAATATATAAATATATATACATAGGTGCATACACATACATATATATTTTTGAATAAAATTCCAAGTGGATAGAATCCAGGTAGAACTATATATATATATATATATATATATATATATATATATATATATATATATATATATAGTTTATGCAAATTTAGGTAATCCGTATGGGTAGACCTGAGGAGGATGATATCCAGAGAGAATGTAAAATTCAGAGCAGATATGTTTGAATAAAAAGACAGACCACGTTAAGATTCCATGTAATAAGCTATTTCACCATAACCCCTTTAACAGGGTTCTGGATCATCAGACTTACTTCCAAAAAAAAAGCTGAAATGAAAAATGAAAAGAAATTCACACGTTTTTTACGGACCTCATCAAGTATACGCAAAGTTAACGAAGTGAGGAAGTGAGGATACGGATTACCTAAATTTGCATAAACTAAATATTAGCTCCTTATAAAATAAGTTGAGCTCTCGGTTGGATTACCTCCCATCGGATTACCATAAGGATCCAAACTTCCAAACTAAAATGGATAAATTTACACCGGACTACTCACCCAAGAACATTTCTCACCCTACGATTGAATCCTTCACCATGTCTTTGACGGAAAAAATCATTGACGTCATAAAAAGAATGAGGTGGAAAATTCACTTCCATCTTAATCCCCATGACAAACCCACTAAACTAGATGAAGCCTTTTACTTTAAATCTCAAAATACTCCACCAAACAATAAATTATTAGAACCTTTTGAACAAGATTTAATTGAGTTAATTAAGAAAATATTCTTCCAGAAAAAAAGACAACCCATTCCAATCCAAACTCAAAAAAGACATCACAAATATAAAAATTCAAAAAACTATGGATCAGAGCTGACAAATCTAAAAATATTTACAAAATTAATCCCTCGGAATACAACCATCGAATTCAAAATAAAGTCTCTGGTTCTTATAAGAAAGACAACAATTCTAAACAATTATCTTCCATACACAAAGAAACTGCGAAATTAGCATTTAAATATAATATTGCTGATAGAATGGGTACAACTCATCTAAAAGACGCCTACTTACTTTTTAAAGACCATAAACCCAACTTTCAGAATAATCTACAGTCCAGACTAATAAATCCCTCCAAATCAGAGTTAGGAATAATTTCTAAAAACATCCTAAAAAGAATAAACACATCTATAATTAAAAAATACCCGTTAAACCTTTGGAAAGATTCATCAGACACCATTAACTGGTTCCAAAAAATAAAGAATAAAAATAATACTACTTTTATACAACTTGATATCATCGATTTCTACCCCTCAATCTCTAAAGAATTATTAGAAAATAGCTTAAGTTTTGCCAGAATCCACACTGACATTACTGACGAAGAAATAAAAATCATAATGGACTCTAGACAGTCCATACTAAAACTGAACAACACCACTTGGATTAAAAAAGATAGAGACAATTTTGATGTCCCAATGGGATCTTTTGATTCAGCTCAAATAGCAGACCTAATAGGTATATACATTTTAGATATCCTAAGTAGATTCCTTGACCCTCAAAATATAGGACTATACAGAGATGACGGGTTAGTTGCTGTACCTAATACTAATGGTCCGTTAACATCCCAACTGCAAAAGAAAATAATTAGGGCCTTCAAATTTCTAGGATTTAGAATCGAGATTTCTTCCAACTTAAAAATAGTAAACTTCCTAGACGTTACATTTAATCTGAACAATAATACTTATAAACTCTTCCAAAAGGAAAACCAATCACCCATATATATAAATATCCACTCCAATCACCCGAAATCAATAATTAAACAAATCCCAAATACAGTAAATGCTAGAATAAATAAACTTTCCTCCAGTAAAACCATTTTAACCAGAATAAATGGGAATACAATAAAGCCCTGTTAAAAAAGCAATTTTAAGCAAACACTAAATTACATAGATAAGTCAGTAAGTAAAATATCCACTAAACCCAAAAAATAGGAAAAGGAAAATTATATGGTTCAACCCACCTTTTTGTAACCTCTCCAAT